GCAACTGTTCTCATGAGATCTGAACTGATGAATAACAACTGATTAACATGAATCATTGTACTAAGGTGGAGTATGAAGGGAAAAGTTGGCACAATGATGCAACAACCCAATGGGCTGAAATTGTTGGCCCAGCTAACTGAATAAATTGTTTTATTACTTGGTGCAAAAACGTGTGTGGATTGAATGAAGAAGTCGTATTTTACTTACCTTTTAACACTGGACGGTCAGGATGTCACCAAGTGAAATCACCTCAGCCGTTAGATGAAGGTCACTTCTGGAGATTCCTATAAAAGGCTCGTCTAGGGTTTNACAGTAGACTGACTCTCTGATTTCTCTCTCTCTCGATTGTTCTGTGCCATTCGAGTTTCTTCTCTCAATATTTTGTTGAAATCTATTTTGATTTCTTTGTTCTCTCGAAAAGAGTTGTAATCTTGTGTGATTCTTCTTTTAGTTGAGAGTGTTGTTCTTGAGTGAACTGCTGTGGTTTGAGAATTGAGATCTTGTGTGAAATACGGGTTTAGTCTGAGTGCTTAAACTCTTTGTAATCCATACCTTGGTTGTGGTTTATGTTCAAATCGTTGTTATTCAGTGATTGAGACAATGATTGTATAAACTCTACCTGTGAATCTTTGATAATAAAGATAAGTGTTTATTTACAGTTTATGTTTTGTGTTTGGTTTTCTTTACTGCACTTATTTTTCCAGTTTCGTTGCTGTTACATTTTCGCATATATTTTGTCGATCTTGTAAGCTAATCATTAATCTCCTCCCAACAGTGACAATTAATTTTATACAGTATTTTTTACTTTCAAAATATGTTTCATATAATTTTTCAAAAGATCCTTAATTTTAAGGGTATTTTTGTAAGTACTCCTAAGAAAAAAGCAGGATTTAGGGAAGCCCAGCCCCCAGCCCATTTCAATTTCGTAAATGTAATTTTTTAAAATATTTTTTACACATTAGTCTGACTTTAATTTTTTTTAATCCGACCTTGAATTCGCTCATGAAAAAAGCATCAATGGCCACCTGGAGGATCGTTAGAGAGCTCACTAATCACGACTTAACAATTATGTGGCTGGAGAACTCACAATAAGGATGTGGGAACGGCATGATATGGGCTCAAACTAATACCAAGAGGATGAGAGAACTTCATCTTCAACCGAATATTGTAGATATCACCAAGAGCATGGCCACAATACATCCGAAAGCTACTTTTCAACCCATATGGTAACTTTATAAAAGTGTTTCTTTAAGTTGGAATAAGACTCAATGTTACTTTTTCTAAAAGTTCCTCCGAAAGGGAGAATTCTTCTAAAAATTAGTTCCAAAACACTAATTAAAATGACCTTCTCATGAAGCTCTTTTATAAGAAACAAGGGCAAAAACAGAAGTTCTGTCGAACGGACAAGATTAATGCTTGCTCGTGCATAAACTAAGATGAA